GAGGTCAGGAGTTCAAGACCAGCCTGGCCAAAACAGTGAAACCCCATCTCTGCTAAAAATACAAAAATTAGCCAGGTGTGGTGGCACGCACCTGTAGTCCCAGCTACTTGGGAGGCTGAGGCAGGAAAATTGCTTGAACCCAGGAGGTGGAGGTTGGAATGAGCAGAGATTGCACCACTGTCCTCCAGCCTGGGTGACAGAGGGAGATTTCCATTAAAAAAAGAAAAGAAAAGAAAAAAGAAGAAACATGGAGGAAATCTCAGTTCAGGAAGATTCATCTGAAGAGGACAAAATGAGGAAAAAAGTGGTACAGAGAAATACATTGAAACAGCACATGTTTTGAACGTTTATATTTCCCGACTGACCACTCCAGTTTGGAGGAAGAGGAAGCAAAGGAGAGTCACTGTGTTAACATTTTACATAGGATTTCTTGTTTAATCCTATTTAATCTGGCCAAATCTATTTCCTAGATCACATCCTGGGCCCTCAGCAGACATTTGGAAGCAATCTTATCATTCGTCATACACTCCAGCCCCAGACCAGCGCCATCACAGAAGTGGTTTCTGGCAGCCTGGGGGCCTCCTCCCACCCACTCCGCTAACAACACACAGGCCACGCTCCCTGCAGTCATTACTACTGGAGGAATGTTCAACACTTACTCTAAAAGGTAAGAGTCACTAATTGGCAACCACATTGAGGCACTGGGAAAAGATGCCCTCACCCACCCCTGGTTCCCCGGGTCGTCTCCTGTGATACGGGGGCTCCGGACCCAAAGGCAGCCCTGAAATCACTCAGCAAAGGAAGCTACGTGTTCCCACAGCTCATTGCAAACTTCATCTGCAGCTGTTTTCTCTGCTCCCAAAGGAGAATTACTCACTTCAATCTGACTCATTATAATTAGAGTAGGTTGACTTTAGGGAGCAATATTTACTTTTTAAAATAAAATGGCAATGAGGGGTGTGTTGCTTGGCATCACTTAATAGGTTAGGGCTTGCAAGGCCTGCCCTTGAGTTGTGAATGTTCTGTGCAGACGGAGCAGGTGTGGGGAGTAGCTGTCATGAGGTGGTGGCTCTGGCATCAGGCTTTGCTCATGAGAACAACCAAGAGAGCATATGATCCCCTAAAACAGGGGTCAGCAAACTATAACCCATAGGCCAAATCACCTGTGTTGGGAAGCATAGCTTTATTGGAACACAGCCAAGCCCATCTTGTCTATACTGCCTGCAGCTGCTTCCATGCTGCAGTAAGGGAGCTGAGTCATTGTGCTAGAAACCATCTGTCCGCAAAGACTGAAACATGTGCTATCTGACCTTCTGCAGAAGAAGGCGGCCCCTGCTCCAGCACACAGGGCCCTCACTCAACAACGAACTATATTGCCTCTTAAGCTCAGTACATGCATGTATCATAACGCTCTTAAAGGTCGAATGGATTTAAAAACTCAAACGTTCCACAAGCATATAGCACCTTTGGTACTTAACTCAAGTATTAACAGTTATTACTTACCTGAACATTCATTTCTTTGAAGCAGAAAGGAAGTCAAATTTCTGTCACCTCTAGTACTGTCCTATTCATAGATGCTGGCTATTTGCCACCATCCAATTCTTCATGCTGAAGTGGTTTGAAACCACAAAAATACATTAACTAATGAATTAATCGATCTGTTTGTGCTTTCATCTTTTACCTCAATAAACGTGTACTGGGCACCAGGCATTGTGCTGGGTGTGTTAGAATACGAAGATGAAACAGGCTCACTATGCGGACGCAGGGTACCTGTATTAGTCCGTTCTCATGCTGCTATAAAGAAATATTTGAGACTGGGCAATTTATACAAGAAAGAGGTTTAATTGACTCACGGTTCTGCATTGCTGGGGAGGCCTCAGGAGACTTACAATCATGGCAGAAGGCACCTCTTCACAGGGCAGCAGGAGACAGAATGAGTGTCGAGCGAAGGGGGAAACCGTCAGATCTCATGAGAACTCACTATCACTAGAACAGCATGGGGAAACTGCCCCCATGATTCAATTATCTCCATCTGGTCCCACCCTTGACACATGGGGATTATTATAATTCAAGGTGAGATTTGGGGGAGGACACAGAGCCAAACCATATCACCACCTAACCAAGGACAGAGATATGTCTACAAGCAACAAGGGATCGTGTGTGCTGGGAGATTGCACGGTGAGACCTGAAGCCCCAGGATGGCTACCTACCACTGTGTGTGTGTGTGTACGTGTGTGTCTGTGTGTGTGTTGGGGGAGGTGTCAGGAAGCCTTCTCTGAGAAGTTGTCATTTACTTTGTTTTGTTGCTACTTATTCTGTAAGAGGTTAAACACGATAACTTCTATAATCATTTTCCCCTTCTCATCTCCAAGGGAGCATGACATGAATGAAGGTCAGTTGTTCAAGAGGACAATTATAGACTTAATTCTAAAGTGTCTGCATGCACACACACACACACACATGTATGCACAGCAACTCTTTTTACAGTTGAGGGTTAGATTTCCTTTATGTTACAAGCTGTTCCCAGAGGCAGGACAACAAGTACCAACTCTACTAAGGGACCCGGTTTATTTGCATGTGCAGACAATGAGGCAGGAGTCCACACTGAGTTACAGTCACTGGGTGATAAGGAGCGAGGCCGCAGGTATGGTGGAAAGAGACCTTGACATGTGGTCACGTTACGATGATCTTCTCCTGACTACTATAAAAAGGCTGGACAATGATCACTCAGTAACGTTACACATTCCTATCCTTCTCCCTGCAGTGGTGTGATGAGGCCAGGTGCAGAGCTGTGGGTACTGGCTTGTAATGGATCCACAGCAGGCAGGGAGAGCTCTCTACGGAGGTGTAATGGCCACTTTGACAGATGATTTGAGGGATACTGGAAATCTCTTCAATCACAGACTTTTAGAGGGTTTTAAGGTCAACTACTAGAGATTCAGTTGCACGTCAGTCCTGAAAACCTAGGTCTTCTACAATCTTCTATCAAAAAATTGCATTTTTTCCCTTTTTAAGAGTTAATGCCTTTGAGAAAAGACAAATTTTATCTCTTTGTTGTGATTGAACTGATGGGTTGGTGTTCCTTGGTCAAGGTCAGCTCTCAACCTCCTCACTTCCTCCTGTCACCCTGTGATTTTGATCAGTTATATAAACTTTTCAAAACCTCTGTAATCAGTTTTAGCATTAGAGACATGATCATAATAGCTAAAATATTAATAGTTTCACGGCCTCTATGCTCTTGTTTTTTTTCAAACCAATTCAAGGCAGTGGAATTAATACATAACCAAGAAAATGCGATTGTACTATGGGGAGAAATAAGACTATTTTCATTTGTAAGATAGATGACAGCCTATCCAATACAATTCTACGTGAGCTTTTAGATACGATCATTTTTTGTGCTATTTTAGGAAAAAGGAGCTTTACAAATGCAGGCTTAGGTAATCAGCTTAAAGAAGCAGAAGAAAATGGTGACTTGAAAACGGCAACCATGTCATCTGACCTTCAAACCCGAGGGACTTTCTGCACGTGGCAATATGGTCTCTTAAAAAATGCTGCACAGAACGGACAAATATAATCAAGTTTTAGTCAAACGCAAGGCTAGAGGTGGAAAAACCTGAGGGATCATATTATCCATATCCTTTACTACATGGCTGGGCTGCTGCCTGCAGTCTGACAGCTGGAGGCGCCGTGCAAGGCCAGCTCAACAGTGAGAACCAGGGTGGGAGCCCTCATCTTAGAAATAGTGTTCAGGGCCGTTTTCTCTGCACTGTCCTTCCCATTCATAGAAACCCGGCAGTTTTGCCAATTTGAGAAAGAATCCATGAAGACAGCTGATAGAAACCGAGAGGGCTGCAATGGCCATGGGGGATTTTGCATGTTGATGGGATTGGCCTGGCTCCATCAGGGCCAGCAAATCTACATGCTTAAAAAACTTTCCACAGAGGCCAGGTGCGGTAGCTCATGCCTGTAATGCCAGCACTTTGGGAGGCCGAGGTGAGTGGATCGCCTGAGGTTAGGAGTTTGAGACCAGCCTGGCCAACATAGTGAAACCCTGTCTCTACTAAAAATACAAAAATTAGTTGGGTGTGGTGGCGCATGCCTGTAATCCCAGCTACTCGGGAGGCTGAGGCAGGAGAATCGCTTGAACACAGGAGGTGGAGGTTGCAGTGAGCTGAGATCACATCATTGCACCCTGGCCTGGGCAATGAGAGCGAAACTCTGTCTCAAAAAAACAAACAACAACAACAACAACAACAACAAAAAACCCTCCACAGAAAGAAGTCTGAGTTCCCGGAGCATCTTTTGATGACAAAACCATTTGGATCATTCTCATTTGCAGTCCTTTTTTTTTTTTTTTTTTTTGAGACGGAGTCTTGCTCTGTCGCCCAGGCTGGAGTGCAGTGGCCGGATCTCAGTTCACTGCAAGCTCCGCCTCCTGGGTTCACACCATTCTCCTGCCTCAGCCTCCCGAGTAGCTGGGACTACAGGTGCCCGCCACCACGCCCGGCTAGTTTTTTGTATTTTTTAGTAGAGACGGGGTTTCACCGGGTTAGCCAGGATGGTCTCGATCTCCTGACCTCGTGATCCGCCCGTCTCGGCCTCCCAAAGTGCTGGGATTACAGGCTTAAGCCACCGCGCCCAGCCTCAGTCCTTTTAATGAAGTTGATCTCTTTGAGCTCACGATTCATCTGGAGTCCACAGAATCTGGAGTCCACAGACACAGCTACAGTTAGGCACCACTTCAACCATGTCAGATGTAGGAACCAAGCACACGCTGTTCCAATTTTAGGAGAATTTGCTATCTAAAATGAAATGACCCTTTTACATATTCAGACACCCTGGTGTATTTGCCCAGATTTTAATTTACACACACACACACACACACACACACATACACACACACAACACCATACACAGGCTGAGTACAGTGAGACCCATTCAGCTTAGAAATGGAAACTTCCTCAAAACCCAAATATAGTTACCGAACTTGATGGGCTTACCAGCTGTTGGCCTTTAGGGCCCCATCCTGCATACTGAAGTTTTGCATTGCTGACTTCTGGTGGGTCCAGACTTTGAGGATCCCTGAAAACGGAACAAACAAACAAAAACAAAGGAAAATGTTGGGAACCAAGAATTTAAGCTGCTGCAATTTTATCCCCTACCTATAACTTAACTCCTTTCTCCTTCCATGCTATCCATTTCAAGAGCTTGTCTCTTGTGTTACTAAGTAATATGTCTCATTTTGTCTCTATTAGGTTTCTTCAGATGTATATAATTTATATGAAGCTCAAATAGGTCTATCATTGCTTAACCCAAATAGTAAATACTTATTAAGAGAGAACATGCAGTGAGGTCTCTGGATCAACTTCTTAACTCTCCAGAACAGTCAGAGTTAAAATGCAGAGCCATGCAGTGATCTGTCTCCACAATTTGTGTCTCCATCTTTGGTTCTCCTAGAAGATAATTTTTTCTAGGTATCACGCAGGTCGTTATGAACTTACAAACCTGGTGGCATCAGGTTTTGTGCTGGTTTGTGTTGACAGATACAAGCCGAGAGAGAGAGGGAGGAAGGGGATAAATCGAAAGATGTATTTCCTTTCAAAGCTCGCTTACATTGTTTATCCCTAATGTACTGATTAAATACCAATACCACCACAACAAAAACCTGTCTAAGCACTTAAAGGTTATGGTGAATAAAGGTCATGGTGGGAAAAATGACAAGAGCTAACACTTTTATAAGTATTAAATATTTCAGTATATTTTGTAGCTACTGTTGTCTCCAACATGCAGAAAAGATTCATTTTCGTGTTTCTTTTGGATGACACCCCTCCATGTGAAGAATGATATCTGTGTTCTGCTGAGTCTGCTGGGCTCTGTCAGGTAAGAACCTCATCACTTAGCTATAATATTTCTTATGTGAGGCCGGGCACAGCGGCTCATGCTTGTAATCCCAGCACTTTGGGAGACCAAGGCAGGTGGATCACAAGGTCAGGAGATCGAGACCATCCTGGCTAACATGGTGAAACCCAGTCTCTACTACAAATACAAAAAATTAGCCAGGCATGGTGGTGGGTACCTGTAGTCCCAGTTACTCGGGAGGCTGAGGCAGGAGAATGGCGTGAACCCGGGAGGCAGAGCTTGCAGTGAGCAGAGACTGTGCCACTGCACTGTAGCCTGGGCAACAGAGCAAAACTCTGTCTCAAAAAAAAAATTATATATATATATATATTTCTTATGTGGAAGACATAGCTGGGAATGTACCCAGTCAACTGTAGAGGGAAATGGTTGAATGGCCTTTGGAAAGGGAGGATGCTGCATTTTAGGGGTTGCATGAACAAAGGAGATGAGGCAGGAAGGGAAGGAAGGTGAAGGGGCTAAGGACATGGTGGACTGGAATCAATAGAAAATACAAAAAGCAACGGCTGAATAAAACTACCAGGAAAAACAAGGAATACATTTAGAGTAAAGAGAGATGGGGGAGGCTAGAGAGTCCAGAATGCCCCAGGTAGTTTTAGATGAAGTGTCTGGGTTTGGAGAAGCCAGGAAGCCTGAGGGTAGAGCGATGATGCCCATTCAGAGAAGACACTGCTGCTTAGAAACCAGCTGCGAAGGCAGCTGCCCAGCGATCAGAAGATGCAAGCAAGTCCTAATATTGCAGGGTCTGTTAATAGATGAGTTTCTAACATTTGCATGGTTTTGTTTTGTTTTGTTTTGAGAAGGAGTCTTGCTCTATCGCTCAGGCTGGAGTGCAGTGGCAGGACCTTGGTTCACTGCAACCTCTGCCTCCCAGGTTCAAGTGATTCTCCTGCCTCAGCCTCCCGAGTAGCTGTGATTATAGGCACCTGCCACAACGCCTGGCTAATTTTTGTATTTTCAGTAGAAGCAGGGTTTCACCATGTTAGCCAGGCTGGAAACTCCTGACCTCAGGCAATCCGTCCTCGTTGGCCTCCCAAAGTGATAGAATTACAGGCGTGAGCCACCGTGCCCCACCAATATTTGTATGTTTTGATGTTTCAAAGTATTCTCATAAGCATAGTTAGTTCCTCTTGAACCCTGGTGTAGAGAAAAGCTTTGATGACTCAAAATTCAGAAGCCAGAAATTAAGATTCATAAGTTGGACTACATAAAAACATAAAACCTCTGCATGACAGATGCATCATAAACAAAAGACATCTTACAAACCAGGAGAAAATTATTTACATCACATGCCGTGGACACATGGCTAATATCCCTAACATACAAAAACTTTGAAAAACTGAGGTTATTAAAAAAAAAAAAAAAGATAAAAATATGAGAAAAAGACATGAACAGACAATTTACAAAAAGATATAAAAATGGCCCCCAAACATATGAAAAGGTACCCAAATATATATGAAATTAAGGAAGTAGGAATTAAAACTAATTGAGACATCATTTCTCACCTATGAAAATTGGAAAAAGAAGAAAAATGTATGACACGTGATGCTGGGGAGGCTGTAGGGAAACAGGCACTCTCAGACTTGCTTGTCAGGAAGCAAACTGGTGCAATCATTTCAGAGGGACATTTGACAATACCTAATAAAATACGCGCTTAACTTTTAGCCCAACAATTCCACTTCTAGACTCCTAGAGAATTCACCTCAAACAATGCACAAATACATGTGCACAAGTTTATATTTATTGTAGTTTTATTTGTAGTTGCAAATATTGGAAACAATATGTGGTTGAATAAATAACGGTACATCCTTCTTTTTTAAGACTGAATAGTACTGAGCAGCGAGTAGAGTAGTAGTGGTTACCAGAGGCTGGGAGTGGGAGGGACTGGGAGGGGTGCTGATAAAAAGATGCAAAGTTTCAGTTAGACAGGAGGAATAAGATTTTGAGATCTGTTGCAGAGTATGGTGATTAGAGTTAATAAGAATGTAATACATGTTTCAAAATTGCTGAGAGAATTATGTTAACTGTTGTACCACAATGAAAAAAGGTAAGTATATGAGGTGATAGGGTGATAGAGATGTTATAGCTTGATTTAATCATTTCATAATGTATACATGTAACAAAATACCATATTGTACCCTGTAAATATATACAATTATCATTTGTTAAATTACAAAAATCCCCAAAACTATAAACACCCCCCCATACAATGAAGTATGGTGCGTGTAAAAGAGAATGAAGAACTCTATATATAGATATGGAGTGATTTCCATGTCAGAGTTAACAAAGCCCAAGAGTATGTGTTATAGTATGTATGTATATATACACATATATACACACACACACATATATATGTATGTATATAGTATGATATAGTTATGTATAATAGAAGAAAGGGATATGAAAATATATATGAATTGAGTATTTTGTGAAAAAAGAAATACAGGAAGTAGAAACCAGGAACCAGATTGATTACCTATAGGGTGTAGGTGGAAAAGGGGTGGAAAGATGGGACTGCTGAGAGAAGGAAGATTCTCTGTAGTTCCGTGAGTAAATGTGTTTCCCCCAGGGGTTTGGACAATCAATTCTGAGACTGTGTGCATATCAGAATTGGATAAATATGCAAATATATTGGAGATAATAAGAGCCAGGACCTTTTTCACTATTGGAGAAAAATGTTATAAGGAAAAGGGGAACACTAAAATAAACTGTGAAGTTTGAAATCAGATTCTCTGAGTATATCTTTTTGTATCACCTCAAGTCTTAGACAACAGTAGGGTTTCAGATACTCCCAAAATAAAACAAACAATAAAAAGGAACCAGGATGTTGGGGAACCCAGAATGGAATAAGAACACCAACAAAAGAACAAAACCCCATTATAAGTGAAACACAAAACCACACTGAAGTGGGTGGAGAGGGAAATAACTAACCATAAGTAACTTTGGGAAACAGTATTTTGACTAAATATGCTAAAGCTAAAATTAAAAAACAAACAAACAAACAAAAAAACCCTGTAAATAAATGCCGTAGTTCAGTGAGTAAATGTGTTTCTCCTAGGGGTTTGGATGATCAATTCTAACACTGTGTGCATGCTAGAATTGGATACATATGTAAATATATTGGAGATAATGAAAGCCAAGTTTTTCACTGTTGGAAAAACACTAAACTGTTATAAGGAAAACGGGAACACTAAGATAAACTGTGAAGTCTGAAATCAGAGGTATCTGTATAAACTCACAGTTTTTAATCTCTATGTACACAAAGAGATCCAAAATGTAGATATGTGTGTGTCCATGGGTTAGTATACATACATATATGTCCTGGGTCTGTCCACTGAGAAGGCCTAGAAACAATGACACCCCAGTAGCAATGAGCACAGTTAGCATCTGGATCTTGGTGTCTAAATACCATCACCCAGTAAAATAAAATAGGGATTCTAGGAGGAGCAATTGTATCTGGGCCGGGGCAGGGAAAACACAGAATAAGTCAGGAATATTTTATGGAACCAGAAAGTAATGGAATACTCAAAAAAAATGGGGGTTTGTTGAGAGAACAGGCAGGCTAACCTAAAGGAGTGTCTAATGACTCACACTAGAACAGTTTGATCAACACAAAAAAATGAATGATAGTACTGGATTAACCCATAGAATAAAATAAATACCCATGAGTCTTTACTAATATAAATAATTAAATAAATCAAATCATCAAATTTACAGTGGAAACCTGGCAGACAGCCACTTAAGCAAGTGACCAAGGCCAACATCACCAAAGCCCCGTTGGATATAGTGCACTGGGAAGGACAAATAATCATTTATGTGATTTTTTTTTTTCACCCAAAATGCAGAACCTTACTCCAATCATGAGAAAACACTGGGAAAAACCCAAACTGAGGGACACTCCAACATAACTGACCAGACCTCCTCAAAAGTGCAAGGTCATGAAAGACAAGAAGAAACTGAGGAAATGTTACAGACTGGAGGGTGCTAAGAAGAAAGAACATCTAAAGGCAGCGTGGGGTCCTGGGACAGAGAAAAGACACTGGTAGAAAAATTGGTAGAATTCAAATAAGGCCTGTCGATGAGTTAACAATATGGCACCCATGTTGATTTCCTATTCTTGATCATTATACTAAAGTTACAAAATATGCTATCACTAGGAGGGGTGA